CAAATAGATTTTATTGGATAAATGATTGATTTGTCAAAGTATGTTGAACAGTTAAGTTCAACTTAGTGTATTGTTGTTAGAAAAAGGTTTTTTGGGGGCTGGTGCCATGGAGCAATAGGTTAATACTCTGCCTGTGCTGCCGACATCCCATGTGGGCGCTGGTTTGAGTCCTAGCTGCTCCTCTTCCAATCCAGCTCTGCTATGGCCTGGGGTAGCAGTGGAGGATAGCCCAGATCCTTGGGCCCTTGCACCTATGTGGGAGACCCGGGAGAGCCTGGCTTTGGATCAGCGCAGCTCCGGCCATTGTGGCCATTTGGGGAGTGAACCAGCAGAGGAAGGACCTTTCTCTCTGTCTCTTCCTCTCACTGTCTGTAACTCCACCTCTCAAATAAATAAATAAATAAAATCTTAAAAAAAATATATTTTTAAAATACTAGGCTTAAGTTTTGAGATAAAATAATGTTTTTAGCTTTATCTTTTGTACTAGTCTTGGCATATCTAGTATTGTACTTAAATAATAACAATATGTGATATATCAAAGCTTATTTTCTATTTTTGGCATAGTTAGCATCTTCATTTTTGGATATGACTTTTGATTCATTAAGCAATTCAAGAAAATCTTCCTTTATATGCTAAGTATAGACTTTTTTTTAATCTGCCCAACTTTATGCCAATTTCTACATTTAAAATTACATAAATATCCTTTAAGTAAAGAAAAAATTACTGTTTTAGCACAAATTTAATTTGTACTTAATAAGGAAGTTTCTGCTTTGGAAACACTGTCCTGCTCTAGCCGCTGGCCTTGCATCTTGAAGCTGGCTGACCCCCAGAGGTAAATGCCATCTGTGTTCTCCCTTAGGTTTTCAGATTGCAGTTTCCTATTTTAACTTCTGTTTAGAAATAAACTTGAGAATTTTGTTCTCTGTAGCTACATAAAACTGGTGTTTATCGTTTGACTCAAGTCTCTATCAGTAACATTTAAAAATGTCATTCATAGTTTTGCAATTTTAGATATATCTTAGTTACTAAAGTCAATTTTGAATATTGTTTTCCTTTAGATGTATAACAGGATTTGGATTGGGAATTGTTAATGTACTCATATATTATGTTCTTTTAGATCTGTTCTAATATTCTGAGCAATAAAATGCATGTTTTAGATTGTTTTTAAGCTATTTGGTTTAATACTAAAATAATGGAATAGATACAAATTGTATAAGACTTATAAAAATATAAGGTTTAAAAAACAAGTAGAAAAGATTTACAAGTAAATCATTTACAGGTTTCCTCATTGGGAAACCTGGTTACAAATTTTACATATTTTCATAAACCCCTATATACATAAATGATGTATTTACTGATTATGAACAGAATAGGTTCAGAAGAGCTTGGGTCAATCTAAACTGATCCTTAATAAGTGAATGCTAATATTTTCACTTGATGGCAGGCAGATTTTGGTCTAATGTGCAGTTTTCTTGCTATGAACATTTTAAAAGTTGTTTGTTAAAAGAAGCACTTCTATAAAATGCTTTTTGAATCAATTTCTTAATGTATTCTTTGATTTGTGCCTTATGGTTCTCCAATATGGGAAAAATAAAATTCCAGGAGTATCATGTAAGAAGACACTTTGTTTTCTTCATTTTGGCATGTAAAGTTACAGGAATCCATAGGATTAGAACCTAAAGAAAAATTTTTGGTATGCAGGTAAAATTTGAAAATAATTCATGGCTTTAATTCTTTTATTTAGCATACTGATTTCAAACTAAACAATTAGTTTTATTCCTGATAAAGAATAGAAAATGAAGTAGTCATTAAAATATCTTTGGACTTTTTAGTATCTCCAAAATTTTACATAATTATTAGGATTCTAAGATAGGGGCTGGTATTCTGGCGTAGCAGAATGGGCCACTGTTTGCAATGCCAGAATCTTGTATTGGAGTGCCTATTCAAGTTCCAGCTACTTTGCTTCTGATCTAGTTTCCTGCCAATGGGTCTGGGAAGGCAACAGAAGATGGCCCAAGTTCTTGGGCCCCTGCCACACACGTTGGAGTCCAGGATGGAGTTCCTAGCTCCTAGCTTCGGCGTGCTTATGAGATGCCAGTGCCGCAGGCAGAGGCTTAACCTACCATGCCACAGCGCCAGCCCCCAAAAATCATAATGATTTAAAGATTTTAGCAACAAAATACAAATGTAATTTTATCATCTGAAAATATGCAATAATCATGGCTCCATAGAAGAGTTATTAAGATATACTTTTAAAAGTTTTTAACATTAACATCTGATTAAATGTCTCAGTATTAACTAGTGGAAAAGTCTGAGTTGAAGGTAAATTTCACAGGCTTATAATCATTCAGCTCTTTTTCCCATACACATTTACTTGATCTGTCTAACACATTGTGAGTCTCTCTCCTCATTTTTTCTACCTTACAAGCTTTTAATGAGCCTGGAATTCAGCCAATTCTGGTTGTGGTGTTTGTATTAGGGAATTTATAGGTCCTACTCTAGCAGCTGTGTAGTTGAACATTAAGTAGTATACTCGGTATCTGCATGGCATATATTTGACTCATTTATTTATATAACTAATAAAAAGGAAAATTGTTTTGCTTTGTAGCTAGAGTTAGATTATTATTAGAAGCATTTTAGCCCACTGACACAATTTCTCTTATTTGTAGTGAAATGGTGCAGGTATAGTCAGACCAACCTGTGTTCAAATCCTGTCTAAATCTGCCATACTAGCTCAGTGATGCTGGGCTCCCTTTGTAAATCTTAGCTTCTTTGCCTGTGCAGTAGTAATAATAAAACTCTCAGTAAGGATATTGCAGTGAACATTCTGGTATGAATAAACCTTTCTGTTCATGTGAAGGTATTGCTGTGGACAGCAAGCCTATGGGCCAAAAGACATGTCCAATTTAAAATTTGATACTTGCTGCAAAATCACTCTTTAAAAAACCATCCTAATTTAGAATCTTGCTAACAGCATATGACAGTACCATGTATCTTTCACATATGGAAGAAAAATATATTCAATTCTGTCATTTTTATGCCTGTTTTTAAATGTTAATCCTTTCCTGGTCTCTACTTTCTCTAATCTGGTTGTTTCTTGGACATTGGAATAATACAGCAGCCAGATGGTTGTTTTTAAGACTTTTTTCTTGGTAGCTATTTGTATTTTTACGTAGGCCGTGTATCTATTAGTGTGTGCCACTTATAAAACATAAACTCCTTCAGTATAAGTTATGTATATGTTAGCATCCATCAATTTTAAGCAGGTTGAAATTTCAAAGAATCAAAATTTCCATGCCTTCTCATTAGTTTGACTGAGTCTTCTGGTTTCTTTCATTTCCACTACTCAAGAAAGCTGTTTTGTTTAAAAAATATATTAATATGTTTTATGTCTTTGAAAATATGGATATACTATTTAGCATATTTGAAGCACTTTGGTTTACCATTTTGAATTCATTATCATAGTATAGACTGTAGAGATAGAAGATATAAATAGTCAGTCAGTACAAACCAAATCTATACTGACCTTGAAGAGAGAAATGTGTTTCGCATTGGTTTCTTTCTTTCCTTTTTTTTTTTTTTTTTTTTTGACAGGCAGAGTTAGAGAGAAAGGTCTTCCTTTTTCCGTAGGTTCACCCCCCAAATGGCTGCCACAGCCAGTGCGCTGCGCCGATCCAAAGCCAGGAGCCAGGTGCTTCTTCCTAGTCTCCCATGCGGGTGCAGGGCCCAAGTCACATTGTTTTCTTTTTTTTTTTTTTTTTTTAATTTTTGACAGGCAGAGTGGACAGTGAGAGAGAGAGAGACAGAGAGAGAAAGGTCTTCCTTTGCCGTTGGTTCACCCTCCAATGGCCGCCGCTGCAGCCGGCGCACCGCGCTGATCCGATGGCAGGAGCCAGGATCCAGGTGCTTTTCCTGGTCTCCCATGGGGTGCAGGGCCCAAGCACCTGGGCCATCCTCCACTGCACTCCCTGGCCATAGCAGAGAGCTGGCCTGGAAGAGGGGCAACCGGGACAGAATCCGGCGCCCCGACCGGGACTAGAACCCGGTGTGCCGGCGCCGCAAGGTGGAGGATTAGCCTATTGAGCCACGGCGCCGGCTCATTGTTTTCTTAATACTTGATTCTCCTAAAAAGAAAATACTGGGAAATTCCACTTAAACTTTATTCTTGTATAGTGGCATTTCTATTTGAAACCTGCTACTCTTTTGTGAAGCCCTGTTTTAAGTCATAGATAGCCTTGAAATTTCTAAGAAGTTATAGTACATGCTAATGAGTAGAACCCCAAAATGTACCTCACAAAGCCATGTTTGGATTGAATTTTAAAAAAAGATTTATTTAAGATTTATTCAATCTCCCACGTGGTGTAAGGGCCTGAGGACTTGGGCCATCTTCTACTGCTTTCCCAGGCCATAGCAGAGAGCTGGATCGGAAGTGGAGCAGCCAGGACTAGAACTGGTGCCCATATGGATGCCGGCACTGCAGGCGGCGGCTTTACCTGCTACGCCACAGTGCCAGCACCCCCCCCCCCACACTGAATTTTATTCTCATTTTTAACTAAGCTCACACTTGACAGTGACGCTTTATTATGTCTCAACTTGTGTTGTAAATAAATTGAATGTTTTTTTTTTTTGTAACTTTAACGTGTAGTAAGACTGATCTTAATCGATTTGAATTGTAAAGGTTAAGTAGATGGTAAGCACGTTTCACTGGCATTTATTCACTAGCTTCGTTGTAATTTTTTGATTAAGAGGTTTGTTTTATATTCATAGTCCTTTAATTTATCAAATTGTTATAAAGTACAATCTTGGATAAATTACTAATCCCTTAACAATTGGACAGAGAGTCACCCTCAATAGGGCCCGACCCTTTTGGGGGACTTAGTAAATGTCAGGTATTTTTATTAATAAATAACACCATAGAATTTATGGTGAATGTAGAACCTTGTGATGTATGCATATTCACCCTTCTAAATTTTAATACTTAATTTTTCTTTTTTTAATAGAATCCCAAAACAAAAGAGCAGATCGAAAATCTGTTGCGGAATGGGATGAACAAGGAACTGCGAGATCGTCTTTGTTACCGGATGACTTTTGGGACTGCAGGACTTCGTTCTGCCATGGGGGCAGGGTTTTGCTACATTAATGACCTTACAGTAATACAGTCAACACAAGTAAGTATTATGAAGTACTATGTGTGTGCTTTTTCTTTCTTTTTTTTTTTTTTTAATAAATTTAAGTAGATCCTTTGAAAACCTTTATGGAACTTTATGAAGATTGTCTCATGTAAGTAATATGAAGGAACTTCAAAAAGTTTGTGGAAAACAGAATTAAAAGAGAAGTTTAGGGGTGGCATTTATCCTAGTGATTAAGATGCCCAAGCCTCACGTCAGGGTCCCTGAGTTCAGTTCCCAGATGTGGCTCCTTACTCTAATTGCTTGCTAGTGCAGATACCGTGAGGCAGCAGTGATGGCTCAACTAATTGGGTTCCTGCCACTGCTGTGGGAGGCCTGGGTTGAGTTCCTGGTTCCTGCCTATCAACTAATGTTTTTTTCTTTTACATTTATGGGGAAGAAAGATCAGTTTGTTTTGGTACCAAAATTTTTGAAATCCATGTGAATAAGGACTCTTCAAAATGTTCATGAAAAACACGTATGTGTGAATTTCAACAGTTTTTTACCAAAATAAACTTTTAATTTTATTTTGCCATGAGCTTTTTGAAGTCTCTTCATAACTGAATAACTGTAGACTAAATTCTGACCTTTGGTCTTACCCAAGGTTTATCTTATAAGCTATTTATGAATATTCAAGTTTGCAGGTTAACTTCCCAATTAAGAGTTATTATTTTGATTGCTATCATCAACTTCCTGACAATGTTAACTTTGCATTTGAAACCAGGGCATGGATATTGACATATCCAGTTAATACAGAGAAGCAAGTTTAGATGAAAAGATGATTATTCATTTTGGCTTATGATCATTCGTAAGAGTTAACCAGAGTATTTGGAAAATTTAATTCACAGTGTTTGCCTTAAACATGATCTGCCACATCTATATGAAAGTTCCTTAAGATAGTTGTAGATGATACAATTTGTTTGTTTCTCTTCATTTTTATGCAACTTATTCTAGAAACAAATTGCTTCTCTTGCCAGTGAATTGGCTTCACTGCTGCAATGAACTAAATGTTTGAGGTCAGTAATGCATTTGACATAATCTAAAAATAATTCTGGGTTAGAAAATTGCTCAGGAGACCTAATTCTAATCAATAGTGCCTAGCAATGAATCACTGTTCTCAGAGAATTCTCTAAAGCCTGGGGCTAATGCACAGGGAGGGGTGACAGAGTGGGACACTTGTTACCTTCACCGCTCACCCCTCCCCATCTCCTTTCTGTTTCTCAGCCTGGGAGGCTTGAGTTTAGTCTTTTTTATATATATGGAATTTCTTAAGTTTTCATTTGAAATTAAAATCCCTTGACTCTACAAAAAGGGGTGAAGGAAATGTTTGAGAATCAATTTCTATAGAAATGCAAATTTCTTAAGAGTTGGGATTTTGTGCAAAAATAGAAGAGCCATATGTAATCTAATTCTTAAGCCTTAGTCCTTTTCAGACTTTAGATCTAGGAGGATAAGATAGAGTCTCACCGCAGAGAATAATGTGAGATTCTATGAGGTTTTAGGATAGTATCATTCAAAATAAGTTGGTAAAAGTAGCCAAGTTGAGATATATTTTCCCCCTCACTCCCACTCAGGGGGAAAAGGTTGAGAAAAACAATTGTATACTTGAAAGATCTATTATTGGAAGTCACTGAGGACGTGTTTGGTGCTTCCATTTACTTACTTAGCAGTGCTTGCCATATAGTAGGACTTCAATAATCGTAAATCAGTATAACTTAATTTTAATTGAATGAATGGCCCTGAGCAAGTTATTACAAGGAGCTTAATGGGCTGGCATTGTATGACAGCAGATTGGGCCTCCACATGCAACTTGGACATCCTACATGTGCAGTGGTTGGAATCCTGGCTATTCTGCTTCTGATCCAGCTCCCTGCTAACATGCCTGGGAAGACAGCAGAACATGGCCCTAGTGCTTAGGCCCTTGCCATCCACATGGGACACAGGTGGGGTTCCAGTTTCCTGGCTTCGGGATGGCCCAGTTCTGGCCATTGTACCATTTGAGGAGAGAACCAACAGATGGAAGATCTCTTTGTCTCTCCTCTTCTCTCTGCAACTATGCTTGGCAAATAAATAAATCTTTTTTATTTTAAAAAGAGCTTTAATATTATTTATCTTATTCTCCTTTCTTAAAGATATTGAAACCGAACAAAACAGAAATGGTTTTTGCATTTCTGTTTTCAGGGTGTTTGTAAAGATTTAATGCCTCATCTTTTTGTAAAAATAATTTTAAAGGGCTATAACAATATGAAGTGTTATTTTTGAAAACCAAATTGTTAAAATTAGCAAATCATTCAGAAGATCCAAAATGATTTTAGTTATTGTGATTTTTTGTTTTTTGTCTCTCTTGACTGCACATTAGTCTATGAATGTTTTTTTCTGAGATTTTTTTTTAAAGATTTAATTTATTCAAAAGGCAGAGTTACAGAGAGAAGGGGGGAGGGGAGATAGAGAGATCTTCCATCTGCTCTTTCACTCCCCAAATGGCTGCAATGGCCAGAGTGGGGGCCATCTGAAGCCAAGAACCAAGAGCTTCTCCTCGGTCTCCCACATGGGTGGCAGGGGCTCAAGCAGTTCTGCTTTCCCAGGTGCATTAGCAGTTATCTTGACCGGAAGTAGAGCAGCAGGGACTTGAATGCCAACTGCTGCAGGCAGCAGCTTTACCCACTATACCATAGCACTGGCCCCTTTTTCTGAGATTTTTAAAACTAAGGAATTACAGATGGATCAGCTATCTTAAGAAATACCGTAGTGAAGAACGGTGTTGCTGATTAAAAATGTTTGTGTCATCAATAGGTCAGATCCTTTGGTTAGCTTCAGTCTTAGGATTTAGCAAGGGCCTAACATGGTCAAAATTCTTCTCTCTAGAGCCTTGAAGCAAGAAATAGTTTCTTCTGGCTCTTGTAACAATTTTTTTTTAAACGAAATTTCATGTACCCTCTTTTGTTCCTAATGTTTTCAGTATTGGATTTAATGGTTACTGAATCACTCTCTCTGTAGTATTAAATGTGTCCAGAAAATGTTTGCTGTTTCACACTTGTGGATTGAGTGGAGTTGCTCCCACGTTAGTGAACACAGGGGTACAGGCAGAAGGCAGGCCCTGGGAGCCAGTAAGCTGCACAGCAAGCGCCCAAGTCAGATCTCAAGTCATCTGCGACGGCAGCATTCATCAGAAACTCATCTTTGTGTTTATCTGCTTCAGGGGATGTACACATACCTTGAGAGGTGTTTCTCAGATTTCAAGCAGAGAGGCTTTGTGGTTGGGTATGACACGCGGGGCCAAGTAACCAGCAGCTGCAGCAGCCAGAGGTACAGTGTCAATTGTTTCAAAGACTAAGTTGGTGTGGAATAAAACATTTAAAACAAAGTTTTTGGGCCCAGTGATAGGATTTCTAAAACAAGAGACTATCAAGTTGGAATGTGAACATATGCCAGTGCATATTTTAAAGATGAAATAGAAGAACATTTCAAAGATAAACTTTAGATTTTACAGAAAGGAGAAGTTTAAAATGTTTGGAGTCTATATTTAGAATGTCACCATAGCCTATAATTTTAATATTCTCATAAGGTAATGGTGTTACTTGTATTCCTGCAATAGTGTCCTATTTGATTAGATTTAGGATATTTTCATTGATAGATCGTTATGTAATGAGATCTTTTTTTCAGGGAGTAATCATGCACATTGGGTTTATCCAAGTGCTTTCACTTTCCTTTATCCTTGCCTTTTGCTGATTGTATTTCTTAGTAAATGCCATTCAAAGATGAATGTAGGGCAGTGGTGGGCCCTGGTGTCCTGGCATGATGGGTTAAGCCACTACCTGTGACACCATTTGATTCTCAGCTGCTCCGCTTCTGATCCAGCTCCCTACTAATGCGCCTGGGAACCAGTGGAAAATGGCCCAAGTGCTTGGGCCTCTGCACTCATGTGGTGGATCTGATAGAAGCTCCTAGCTGCTGGCTTCAGCCTAACCCAGCTCTGGCTGTTGCAGAGTTAACCAGCAGATGGAAGATCTCTGTCTCTTTCTGTCTAACTCTGCCTTTCAAGTAAATAAAAATTATTTTTTAGAAAAAAAGATGAATGAGGGAAGAGGAAATTGAAATGTAAGTTTCATGAATTGTTAAGCCCCTTACAATAAAAACTAGATTTACTTAATGTTTTAAAATTGGAGCATGAAGATTAAATAAATAACTCTTTAGAATTGATTGTATTAAGCTATTATATATTCAGAATAATTATGGTGTGAACAGTTATGATGGGAGGTTGGTTTTAAAAAAGTATGATAATCTAGGAACTAAGTGAAATTTCTCTCTTGTTTTAGACTTGCTAAACTCACTGCTGCAGTCTTACTGGCTAAAGATGTCCCTGTGTACCTTTTTTCCAGATATGTTCCTACACCTTTTGTAGTAAGTATGTTGTGTTAGTGATCATACAACTTGCTGCTCTTTAAAAGCTTTAAGTCAACTAGTTTTCAAAGTTTTTTTCATGAATATAGTTCTATATTGAATGATATAAGGTACTAAAGGAAGAAAACAAATTTTGCTTTGAATTTATTTTCATTCAACAAGCATTTGTTAAATTACCTAAGAATTTGACCTATAAAGGTTGACAAGTCCACTGTCATAGTGGGATATTTTGACATTTTTCTTGCAGAAATTGATTTATCAGGCAGACAAAGATGATTAAGGATAGGTTTGAAAACACTGTTAATAGGCTTGATTGGGGGGTGGGTGAGAGCGAGAACCCTGTATTCAGTGATGGTAAGCTATGCATTACTGTTAAGCAGAGTCACAAAGGAAATCTCGGCAAATGCCGAAGAACCATTGATCAAGCCATATGCCTGGACCCCAGTGCAATAGAATTAGGAAGAAAAAAGGCTCACAAACTCCATGTTTGGAATTTTTAAAACTTTAAGTACCTTATGAATTATGGGAGTTGTTAGAATTGAGATTAGAAAATGCTGGCAGCCCTGGGGTACATGTGCTGTACCCTGCTGGCTGTGCATGGGAAACAGAGCTGTAAAGATTTCTGTGCGAACTAAAACTATGCAAAGTGATCTTAATGATCAATGGGAGCAACTACAGTTGTCTTGTAACGTTTAAACTTTTTTTGCCAAAATATTAAAAGTACCCTTAATCTGGTTAAAAATGTGGAGGGACCTTTCTCTATAAGGGGAAAATGGTAGAATTAATATTTATTTAGTAATTTAAGATATTAGAAACATTTAAAAATAAAGTGTTTCATTTCTTTGTAAAAAAAATTAAGAGAATGGTGCTTCTTGTCATATAACTTACAATATGAGCATACTTTTTTTCTGCAAACTGTTATACACATCTCTGTATCAGCTTCTAACATTTTATCCTATGTTATGTTCAATGTGGTAAAATATCTCTTAGAATTCCTTGAATATGAAGTCTTTTACCAGTGATCAGAATCTTGTCAGACTTGGGTTACGAGCCAGTCTCTGAATCATGTCAGGGTAATAGATTAGGTCATTTACCTACCTGCTGTCTCTGTTTCTATATTCCTACAGTTCTCTCTCTTCGTCTCTTATTCATTCATCTTTCTCTCTGTCTCTTTTTATTTCTCTACATCTCTCTCTCCTCTCTCTCTGTGTGTGCGTGCGTGCGTGTGTGTGTGTGTGTGTGTGTATATATATATTTTGAAGAGCCATCTCTATATAGAGAGAGAAAAAGAGAAAGGGGCTAGATTTGATGGTAGAATAAATAAGATAAATAGTAACTATTACAGAGAAAAGGGGGAAATCCAACGAGGTAGTTAACTTTGGAAGAGAAGACAGTGAATTGCTCCCTTTGCCACAAAGCAGCCTATTGGAAGGCAGTAGACCTATGTTCCATATCTTTGAATCTTCTACCTAATGAATGCATAATGTTGGATAAGCCTCAGTGTAAAATATAATGAGTTAGATAGTTTCTAAATTTACTTCCAGTTCTAACATTTTATGATTGTATCTGTCACTGATAACTGCAGACTGGTTGAGTACCTGGCATTTAGCAGGTGTTTGTTAAATGTTGTCAAATAACAAAAAGAAAAAGGAATGTTACTGGACTAAGTTAAAGGAGATCAGAGTAGGAAAGCCAGTCTCAAAGTAGGAAGGTTGCTGGGCTTCATCATTTAGAAATGAACCTAACCCAAACCTAAACTTGAAAAAGTTTTTGGCCATTTATACCATAATGTCTTTTCCTATTACTTAAACAGTTATTCTCTTATCAACTGTTTGAGTAGCTAGGGTGCACAATGGAATTGCAATGCTATCTTTTCAGCCGTATGCAGTCCAGGAACTGAAAGCAGTTGCAGGTGTGATGATTACCGCGTCTCACAACCGTAAGGAAGACAATGGATATAAGGTAAGCCTTGAACTCCTGGCCTCTGCATATAGTTCTGATTTATTCAAATAATTTATGTTAAGTATATTTTCTACATTGAAGAACAGGGCTTGGCATTGGGGACAGAAAAGTGATGAAAATATTGAGGCTGTCCCTCAAAGACTGTATCCCTAATGGCCTTTCCTACTTCTCAGTGTGTTTAATTACAAGTTTCCTCATTGATCTTTTCACTGCTAATTACCATTGATTTCTGCATCCCATCCCAAATACATCTGCTCTACCATCTCAGAAATAAAGTTGTATTGTACTAGAGCGTGAAGAATGAAAGGGAATTTGTGGGAAGGGAGCCAGACAAATAGTACTTTGACCTTACTCTCCTTCCTCCCCACCCCCAACTTTCTGCCAGTGCTCCCCATTGGCCACAGGATCCATTTGACATGTCAGTCTCTGTGGCAGAAAGCCCAGTGGGAAAGAGTGAGCCATGGCTCTGGAGGAGCAAATAGAAGATCCACAGCATGGGGCTGGACCAGTGTTTGGGGCTTCTGGGCGATGAGCCCATGTCTTGTACATGTTTTTCTTCTTATGTGGGAGGACTTCAGATATACTGGGATCTGCTTTACTGAGGAAAAGGAGATTCAGTACTAATCTAGGATTTAGGGTCTGACGAGATGAGTTACTAATCACAGGTATGAGGAAAAGCCATGATCAATTCCATTTTCTTTTTAATTTTTATTTATTTATTTATTTGAAAGGCAGAGGGACAGAAGGGAAGAGAAACAGAAGCAGAGAGAGATATCTTCCATCTACTCATCTATTCTCCAAATACCCACAACAATTAGAGCTAGGTCAGGCCAAAGTCGGGAGCCTGGAACTCATTCCAGATCTTCCACATGGGTGGCAGGGACACAAGGACTTAAGCCATTACTTGCTGCTTCCCAGGATGTACATCAGCAGGAAGCTGGACTCAAACCCAGACACTCTGGTACGGGATGTGGTGTCCCACGTGTCTTAACTGCTGGGCTAAATGCCCCAAACACATGTGGACTCTTCAAAATTCATGGAAATACATATAAAAACCTACGCATGGGGTTCAGAAAGTTTTATACCAAAACAATCTTTTAATTTCATTGTCCTTGAGCTTTTTGAAGTACTTTTTTTTTTTTTTGGACAGGCAGAGTTAGAGACAGAGGAAGGACTTCTTTCTGTTGGTTCACCCCCCCAAGTGGCCACTATGGCCAGTGTGCTGCGCCAATCCGAAGCCAGGAGCCAGGTACTTCCTCCTGGTCTTCCATGCGGGTGCAGGGCCCAAGGACTTGGGCCATCCTCTACTGCCTTCCCGGGCCACAGCAGAGAGCTGGACTGGAAGAGGAGCAGCCGGGACAGAACTGGCACCCCAACCTTGACTAGAACCCGGGGTGCCGGAGCCACAGGCGGAGGATTAGCCTAGTGAGCCGTGGCACCGGCCCCTGAAGTACTCTTATACTAGATTTGAGGCATTTATTGGTCAACCAGGTAGCAGTTGGGCAATAGGATATTTAGCTCTGTAACTTGAAAGAAATCTGGGCTAAAGATTGAGATTTTGGGATCGCCACACACATTAGAGCACATAAGAGGATTTGAAAGTCCTTTATTTGGATGAGCAACCCGGAGATAGTATAGAGCAAAAAGAAAAGAGATCAATTGTAAGTGGAGAGAGGAGGAAGAGAAGCTGTAGGTATGTGAAAGACCAGAGTAGATTGATCTTAAAACCAAAGAATAAGAATTGTAAGGAATTGCAGGTCAGCTGTCAAGGAGAGCCAGGAACTCAGATCACTTCTCTGAGCACCAGGCTTCTATATCGAATTGCCTACTTGAGAGAAAGAAGTCATGATTCCCCTATAACCTGCCACATGTATACTCAAATGTGGTCTCCTCCATGTTCCCATCTCCATAAATTACCACCACCCACCCACCCAGAGACCAAAAATCATCCTTGACTGCTCTCTTTTCCCTAACATTAAATCTATCATCAGGTTTCACAAATTCTAAATCTAAAATATATGGTAAATGGGGCTGGCGTTGTGGCTTAGCGGGTAAAGCCACCACCTGCAGTGGCGGCATCCCAAATGGGCGCTTATTCGAGTCCCAGCTGCTCCACTTCCAATCCTGCTTTGTGCTGTGGCCTGGGAAAGCAGTAGAAGATGGCCCAAGTCCTTGGGCTCCTGCACCCGAGTGGGAGACCCGGAAGAGACTCCTGGCTTCAGATTGGTGCAGCTCCAGCCATTGCAGCTACTTGGAGAGTGAACCAGTGGATGGAAGGCCTCTCTCTTTTTCTCTTTCTCTCTCTCCCCCCACCCTCCCTTTTCTGTCTTCCCCTGCCTCTGCCTCTCTCCCTGCCTCTTCCTCTCAAATAAATAACCTTAAAAATATATATTATATATATATAGTAAATATGTTTATCTTTGCCCCTACCTTCCCTTGTCACCATTCTAAACCATCGTTGTTTTCTGTTTGAACCACAGCATCCTTAGCTGATCTCTCCTCTGCCTGCATTTTTCTCCTCTAGAATCCATTCTCCAAAAAGCTAACAGATAATTTTTTTTTTTTTGACAGGCAGAGTGGACAGTGAGAGAGAGAGAGAAAGAAAGGTCTTCCTTTTGCCGTTGGTTCACCCTCCAATGGCCGCTGCGGCCGGCGCACCGCGCTGATCCGATGGCAGGAGCCAGGTGCTTTTCCTGGTCTCCCATGGGGTGCAGGGCCCAAGCACTTGGGTCATCCTCCACTGCACTCCCTGGCCACAGCAGAGAGCTGGCCTGGAAGAGGGGCAACCGGGACAGAATCCGGCGCCCCGACCGGGACTAGAACCCGGTGTGCCGGCGCCGCAAGGCGGAGGATTAGCCTATTGAGCCGTGGCGCTGGCCGCAAACAGAGTATCTTTTAAAATATAAACAAATCCTATCACTCCCCTGCTTAAATGGCTACTCATTCAATGAGCCTCTTCCGTGGCTTCTCATTCTTCAGCTAAAGCCCAAGCTCGCTGCCCTGGGTTAGAGTGGTCTGCACATCCTCTTCCTTCCTTCCTTTGCTCGCTGCATTCCAGTCACGCTGCTGCTCCTTTCTGTTCCCCAGCTCCTCCAGTGTACCGGCCTCTTTCCACCTCGGAGCCGTGGTAATTCTGTTTTCTCTGCTTAGACTGCTCTTCCCCCAATCTTGCCAGTGGGCTGCTTTTCATCCTTCAGGGGCCTGCTCAGATGTTGCCTCCTTAAAGAGCAGGCCTCCCTCCAGAGCAGTTTTGTTTGTTACATTTCTTCCAGAACCTCACGGGTCTCACTGGGAACAATTTTGGTGTTAATTTATCAGTTCTTATCCTATAATAGTTGAAGTGCAGACATCAAACTTGAAATTAAAAAAAAAAGATTTATTCAATTAATTTGAAAGAGTTAGAGAGGTAGAGACACACACAGAGAGAGGTCTTCCATCTGCTGGTTCACTCCCCAAATGGCTACAATGACCAGAGCTGAGCTGATCCAAAGCCAAGATCCAGGAGCTTCTTCTGGGTCTCCCATGTGGGTGCAGAGGCCCAAGGACTTGGGCCTTCCTCTGCTACTCTCTCACATGCATCAGCAGGGAGCTGGATCAGAAGAGGAGCAGCTGGGACTTGAACTGGCACCCACATGGGATACTGGCACTGCAGGCCAGGTCTTCTACTCGCTGTGCCACAGCATTGGCTCCAAATTTGAAATTTTTAAAAATGAGCTAGAACTCAAGAAGAAAGACATGCTCCCTCATCATCTATCTGTGTAATTGGCAGAACTTACGTACCGAGACTGAATTACTTCTGGGGTATCATTGTTGTTAGGGGTTTCAGTTCCAAGTCCCTATCTTGCTTGTGGGCAAATAGTTTTCAAACCTCAGATAACCACTGGATCAGTCCCAACAACTTAGCACTTGAGTTTTTAATTCTCTTTTTTTTGTACTGCCCAGAGTTTTCCCTCTCCTCTTGTGAATTAAGCTATGCATTCTGATCATGTTTTGTCTATTTTATTTTTTGAGGTATTTTGAGGTATTTATCGTATAGAAGAATTTTTAGGTCATCTAGTTTACCACATTGCTTGGCACAAAGCTTAGTACATAATACCTGTTCAGAATTCTCATTTGCTTCATTCAGGATACTCAGTAGAGGAAAACTGTGTCAGATACATGGCAGAAGTCAACACAGACCTTCTCTAAGCGGAGTCCCTTCTGAACTTGGGGATCTTGTGAATTGTTAGAATGAAATTTTTTTGTTTTTTGGTAATTTTCTGAAGTGTATGTGGGTCATTAACATGTTAACGTTCTTTCCTGATGCCGATTTTATTTGATGTGACATAAATTCAACTTTCACTTATAATGGAAAAATGACTTCTTCTATATTATAAAATAGAACCCCTTTGTAATGTTCAATGTAATAGTATCAAGTTTTCTGGACTATTCCATGGTTTCTTAGATTATTTTTAGTATGTAGTTAACAGAGCTGAGAGTATGATTGGACACTGTATACATGTTATAATGTTGTCATAATGATGTCTAACTTTTATTGTTATTAAAGTATGCTTCAGAAAGACAAAGTAATACATGATCATTTTATTGAAGAACTCCTATGGAATTGTTACTGTCAATACTTTTTGTTAGTTATTAAATTAGTCCCATGTTGATTTTTTTTTATTCTTTACAAAGCCAAGGATCTCTCTTATAGCTAAGGAAAGATCTGAGAAGCCTTGTAGTAATTAGACATATTTCCCTGTCATCTAGGTTTATTGGGAAACTGGTGCTCAGATCACATCTCCTCATGATAAAGAAATTCTGAAATGCATAGAAGAATGTGTGGAACCCTGGAATGGTTCCTGGAATGATAATTTAGTGGATACCAGCCCACTGAAGAGAGATCCTCTGCAGGAGATTTGCAGGAGATACATGGAAGATCTGAAAAAGATCTGTTTTTACAGGTATCCAATGGGAATGAATATAGGATAGTGTTATCTTAGAATAATGTTAACAAGTGAGGGAAGAAAAAAATGAATAAAAATGAGTAGACTATTAATTGTTAAAATTATAGCTAAGTAATTATTATTCAAAATTATTATTCAAAATTGGAAATAACCCAAATATCCATCAACCAACGAGTATATAAATGAAATGTGGTGTATCCCTACAGGGGAATATTATTCAGCAGAAGAAAGAGATGAAGTACTGATAGATATTACAAAATGGATAAACCTTGAAAATATGCTAAGTGACAGGAGCCAGTCCACAGAGAACCATGTTCTGTTATGTGAACTATCCAGATGATTGGGGGAGTCGGTTTTGGGGTTCAAAGTTCTTCTGGGAATGAGAATGTTCTAAAATTGATTATAGTAATGGCTTAACAATTCTGTGAATATAGAGAAAAACCATTAATTTGCACACTTTAAATGGGTGAATTGTATGGTTTGTGAATTTTATCTCTATAAAGCTGTTGAATTATATGTATTTCCCCATGTTAATTTTCTTTAAGATTTTCTTTTTTTTTTTTTTAAGATTTATTTATTTATTTGAAAGAGTTACACAGAGAGAGAGAGAAAGAGAAAGGTCTTCTATCCGATGGTTTACTCCCCAGTTGGCCACAACAGCTGGAGCTGCGCCGATCTGAAACCAGGAGCCAGGAGTTTCTTCCAGGTCTCCCACATGGGTGCAGGGGCCCAAAGACTTGGGCTATCTTCTGCTGCTTTCCCAGGCCATAGCAGAGAGCTGGATCAGAAGTGGAGAAGCCGGGTCCTGAACTGGCGTCCGTATGGGATGCTGGCACTTCAGGCCAGGGTGTTAACCCACTGCACCACAGCAGCAGCCCCAAGATTTTATTTTTCTTTAACTTTTCCATTACCATTAATAGCTAACATCATTGCTAGAAAGAGTTCTGATTGCTGAGCATATTTTCCTTGTCCTACAAAATAGAATTTCATTTTTCCTCTGGTTTATTTTGTTTTCAAAAGTATGCCCATCAAACTATCAATTGTTTTTCTTTTTTTAAAAAATTAATTATTTTAAAGGCAGAGTTACAGAGAGAGGGGAAGACACACATGTACACACAAACACACACACACACACAGAGCTTCCATCTGCTGGTTTCTTCCCCAAATGGCTGCAACGGTGAGGGATGGGCCAGGACAGAGCCAGGAGCCTGGACCTCCATCTGAGTCTTCCACATGGGTGGCAGAGGACCAAGTCCTTGGGTCATCTTCCACTGCTTTCCCAGACACATTAGCAGAGAACTGGATAGGAAGTAGAGCAGCTAGCATGGGATGCCAGCATAGGCAATGGCTTAACCTGCTACACAACAACACTGGTCCTAATTATTCGCTTCTCTTTCTGAAATGAGAAGTGAGTGATAATAATTCTAGCTAAATGCTGCTTGCTATAGTTAATTTATAAATAATTTGATCCTTTTGTTGTCTTTGTTCATTTATATGAGCAAAATAATTTAACAAATGAACTTAACTGTATTTCAAGCCGAAAGTATAATCAGAGATTTCACCTGACTTTACAATAAAGTAATTTGTACACTTCTAGTAGGATACATCCAAAGATAAAAGAAACACAAAGAAATCTCAAATTGTATTTGAGGGGCCGGCACTGTGGTGTAATGGGTAAAGACACCACCTGTGATGCCAGCATCCCATATGGATGCTGGCTTGAGTCCTGGCTGCTCCACCTCTAATCCAGCTCCCTGCTAATGCTCCTGGGAAAGCAGTGGAGGATGGCCCAAGTTCTTGGGCCTCTTCACCCATGTAGAGGAGCTAGATGAAGCTCCTGGCTCCTGGCTTTGGCTGGCTCAACTCTGGCTGTTAGGGCCATTTGGGGAGTGAACCAGCCCATGGAAGATTGATCTCTCTCTCTGCCTCTCTCTCTCTCTCTGCCTCTCTCTCTCTGCCTCCCTCTCATTCTTTCCAACTCTGCCTCTCAAATAAATAAACCTTTTTAAAAAATTATATTTGGTAGTTTGTTAGTAGTTATAGTTTGTTAGTAATAGTTATAGCTTTATAGTTTATGCTTATGCAGTCATCAAAAATTTATGGAAAATGTGTATTGTGGAAAAAACTGTAAATGGCCTTCAAAATTGTTTTGTACTAAAATAATCATTTAATTCCATTTTTCCATGAACTTTTTGAAGTGCCCTCACATATTCACATATGTGTTTGTTATTAAACAAATGGATATTATGTTACGTCACCAGGAACTAAGATTTTAAGAGGAGTACAAGTAAAATCAAGAAAATTAATTTCTAAATTATAATTTTAAATATGAACTTGGGATATTAGTATAAACTAATGATTTGTTTACTTTTTTCCTAAAATAGTACTTCTGTTACTAAAAAGGCTTGTGAGTTCCTGGAAATCCCAGGTTGTGATTTCTAAATACCACTTCCCACTGAAAGGAACCAGAATTCTTTAGAGAAATTTGTGGTTATTGGACTGGAGCAGAAAATGTACTGTGCCTGGAATATCTCCATTTTTCTTAAGCCATAAAACAAGAAATTATTAGTGATACTTACAGCAAAAGGATATAGGAGCCAATTTGAAGGGGACTCCCAGGAAACCAGAGTTGGACAATTGCATATAAAAAAATTCACTAGAGAGAATTAAAACATTTAGCATTGGGGCTAGTGTTGTGGTGCAGTGGGTTAAGCTGCCTCTTGGAACGCTGGCATCCCATATCAGAATGTTGGTTCAAGTCCCTGCCACTCTACCTGCCATCCCATCTAGCTTCCCGCTAGTGAACCTGAGAAGGCAGTGGAAGATGGCCCAGGTGCACACCTGAAGTACTGAAATTCTTGAGTGAGAAGAGATGGGACCAGGGCAGAAGCAGAGGGCTTGACCTTGGATAGAGAGAGCACTTCCTTGCTCTTGTTGAATGAGAGAAGGAAAAGTTACATGTGGATGCTACAAGGCTGTGGATTTGGTGTGAAAGGGTTTGGCAGTTCCATCAGATGGCTTCTCTGTCTCAGTGTATGAGGTGAAGGAGGAAGAAAGAAATAAGGTCACAGGGGAATATATTAATTAAATCACTGCCTTGGAGAGTAAAAAGTGTGAGCTTCTGTGGTAACAAAGTAGGGATTGCTTGGGGCAGGTATCCTGGTGCAGTGGGTGAGGTCACCCCTTGGCACACCTGCCTCCTATCAGAGTGCCAGTTTGAGTCCCTACCACTCTCCAATCCAGTGTCCCACTATTTCAGCTGGGAGGCAGCAGATAATAGCTCAAGTGCTTGGGTCCCTGCCACTCACATGGGAGCCCTGGGTGGAGTTCCTGGCCCCCAGCTTCAGCCTGAAACAGACATGGCTGTTGTGTGCATTTGGAGAGTGGACCACCAGATAGAAAACCTGTTTCTTTCTCTCTCTCTCTCTTTTGCTCTGTCTCTGTCGCTTGCTCTGCCTTTCAAATAAATAAATCTTTTTGAAAAAAAAAAAAATAGAATTGCTTTACACTGTTGAGGCTCCATTAAAAATGAAGCTATTTAATCTTTTTATGAGATTCACTCTCAGTGTTTAGCTATTTTGGTTCATGTTTGGAAAATGTACGTTTTGTATTCAGCTAGAGTCGGAGTACTGAAAGGTCAGGGTAAGCAGAGTAATACATAGGAAGGGGAATGAAATTCCATGCCTTGGAATGTGAGCTGGACTTCGGTGGAGTGAAGAAAGCAGAGGTCTGCTAGAAGGTGAGAAAGCTGGGTTCAGAAGACGGTTCTGGTCAGACGGGATTGACCGGCGGCTTGTTTAGGGCAACAGCACAGCACCTGGAGGGGAGCTGCGCAAATCAGGAAGCCGAGCCACAAAGAACAATACAGTTCAGTTCAAAATATTTTAATCTTTAGTATCCCATCATTTCTGTTTAATATCTTAAGGCTCTGCTGATGGCTGTAATCATTTTTTAAAATTATGTCATAGGTGACAAGCTTTTTGGTATTGATTGAATGGTGATTTTACTTTACAGGGAATTAAACTCAAAGACCACCTTGAAATTTGTGCACACATCTTTCCATGGAGTCGGACATGACTATGTACAGACGGCTTTTCAAGTGTTTGGTTTCAAGCCTCCAATTCCAGTACCAGAACAAAAAGATCCTGATCCAGACTTTTCTACCGTGAAATGCCCGAATCCTGAGGAAGGAGAATCTGTGCTGGTATTTTTTAATATTTAAAATATTACTCATTAATTAATAGCCATCAGAATAGATAGAACTCATTGGCGATTCGAAGATTACTCACAAAGGCAGAAACCATTGAAATTTGCATCTTTTAAATTATATGGGAGCCACAGGCTGTGTTTTGATTACAATCCTTATGGTGGGTATCCCTGTTGTAGGCTCCTTATTTTAAATTTAGCAGAACTATATGCCTTCTAAAATTCACCTGCCATAGTGCCAACATTTAGAGATATTAGCCTCAAATTTAGGTTCTTCAGCCTTTTGGGTCACTGTTTCAGGAACTTTCCCTGAGGCTGGCGGAGAAAGAAAATGCCCGGATAGTGCTCGCCACGGACCCTGATGCAGACCGACTCGCCGCGGCAGAGCTCCAGGAGAAGTAAGTGCGGTCTGTCACTTGGTCAAAGGCTTGAACTCTGAAAAGCAATTGATTTCAAGTCTTACAGGCTCATTGAAAATATAAGAGCATGAATCTTCTGTAAGCCCACCATCCCAAGATAACCAGGAAAGTTGATACTTGGACGTTCTGTTCCTGTATTTTTTACCCAAATATTTAAAGATATATCAATTTTGATGAAATTGTGATCATACTGCACATAATATTTTAGCTTCATTATTTTTTATTTCAGTTTTACTGTGAAAATTTATATATTGTTTGAAAATATTTTAAAAACAGGAAAATATCCCAATAGATTGCTTTATCAGTGATTAGATTTTCTAGTCTTGGTCCTCTGGGTTACTAGGTATTTTTGCCATTATAATGTGACAAATTTCCCTACATAGAAAAGCTTAAACACTTATCATAATTTTCATCACATGAAGAAGTATAAAAGCAGAATTGTAATAATTTTCCAAAAGATATTCCAGCTATTCCCACCCTAAGAACATCCCTGAATCATTAGCAAATCATTGGTAGTAAATGTTTTTCTCAAAAACCCCCACATAATATTTTCTGGGTCTTTGGCTGTCTTAGAGTCAAGAAGTTTACATAAGTTGGAAAGGTCTTGATTGTGAATTTTTACTCTCTCTGCAGTGGTCATTGGAAAGTTTTCACAGGGAATGAGCTGGCAGCTTTGTTTGGGTGGTGGATGTTTGACTGCTGGAAGAAAACTACAGCAAGAAATGCTGACGTGAAGAATGTGTACATGTTAGCCACCACAGTCTCTTCTAAAATTTTGAAGGCAATTGCCCTTAAAGAAGGATTTCATTTTGAAGTAAGAATGATAGTATTTGTGTGCTTTTCTTTCAATGATTTATTTTATTTATTTACTTGAAGGAGTTACAGGGAGAGGAGGAGAGACAAAGAATCTTCCATCTGCTGGTTCACTCCCCAGATGGCCACAATGGCCAACATAGAAGGAGCTTCATTCAGGTCTCTCACGTGGGTGGCAGGGGTCCAAGTACTTGGGTCATCTCCTGCTTTTTCTGGGCCATCACCAGGGAGCAGCCTGGATACGAACTGGCACCCACATGCAGTGCTGGCATTGCAGGCAGCAACTTTACCCTCTACCCCACAACTCCGGCTCCCGAGTGCTACTTTTCTACACCTCTTGATATATGTCAAAGACATCTCCCCACCAAAACTGACTTTCACTTACTTCATTTATTATAATTCTCATACTTTTTCCTAATTCTGCTAACTCTTCTTTTTTATAATTTACCAAACTCATCTACTGTTTCACCTAGGAATTTCTGGGACTAAGATGAGACACTCTTTTAAAAATACTTTAACACTTATTTCACAGAGTAATATCTGGCTTTCCCACTGGGAAAATCTGGTTCCTGGTGACCTCATCAGTAACACAGGCTCTACTCTAGAAAGGTGTCATCAACTCCTTGTTCAGGCACAGTCTTAAGACTTATCCACTAAATTGCAAATTAAGATTATACATCTACAAAACAAGTAGTGATTATCCTTCACACCAAATAATTAACCTTTGTGACCCTCAGGCAGTCAGACTGACCCTGTGTTTCAGGCGTCTTTGACTAACATCAATTATGTTGCTTTTCCTAGGCCATCTTTGCTAAATAGCAATGAGAATATCACTTCTAGGCTTTTCTCTCAAGTCAAAAGTCAAGCCACAGGTCTTAACACCATTAGCTAAGTAGTAGAAAAAAAATTTTTTTTTAAAGATTATGTATTTAAAAGCAGAGTTACGGGGGAGAGGGAGAGACACAAAGATCTTCCATCCACTAGTTCACTCCCCAAATACCTGAAACAGTCAAAGCTGAGCTGATCTGAAACCAGAAGCCAGGAGCTTCTTCTGGGTCTCCCAAGTAGGTGCCAGGGCTCAAGAAATGGGCCATTTTCTGCTGTTTTCCCAGGCACACAGCAGGGAACTGGATTGGAAGCATCTGGGAATCGAACCAGTGCCCATATGGGATGCCAGCACTGCAGGCGGCGGCTTGACCCACTACGCCACAGCGCCGGCCCCTAGAAAATGTCTTTATGAAATAGAGCTTTCAATCTTAAGACTTTCTAAAATAGAAAGATGTTGATCTACAGTAATGTTAATATTTTCCTTCTTTATATCTTTGGCAAGAAAAAATGTATGAATACAAAAGAGAAAAAAGAAATAATTTTTAAAATTTGCAAATGATAAGCTCCAGAATGAGTATTTTACACATAACCTTTCTGTTGACTATGAAACAGGGCACATCTTTAAGTGAGCTGTAGCTACCAAATGAAAAATCTCCGAAACTAATTACTAAAGAAAGATCTAGTAACTACCTTGGTGTTTTATTTATGCTACCGTGTTATGGAAAGGTACACTTGGTTCAAGCATAGATTGTGATAATATTGAAAGGGCACCACTCAAAAAATTCAAGATCTTTGATAACCCGAGGAGACTAAATCTCCTTCATAAGCACTCAAACATTGGCAGCCATAATGTGGCATGGAGGACAGTCAGAGGCCGTGTGATTGAAAGCTGCTTTCCTCTCACAAGCAGCGTGATCTCAGGCGAATAAAATTAGCAGCTGAGCGGCTCAGCCTCTGTCCGGCAAAGGAGTGTGAACGTTTAAAAAATGATGCTGTACAGTACATATTAGAGTACTGAGCATAATAGGTGATGATTATGTGTGTTTATGTGACGTTGTGACTGGATGCATCACATTTACAAACTCTAGCTTATATTCAGTATAAATCACCTGATGCGATATTCCATAATATAGGTCATCAGTAGTGGCAGCGTATGCATTCGTGGCGCTTTATGGTCACTGTGTAAATCTGGTGTGTAGACTATACCAGAAGGTCACCAAGAGAGTATTAGGTGTGTTTAGTGATAAGTTTTTCTTTCATCTGTGTTTGTGAGAGTCTCTTAACTAGAGTGGCCTCCTCTGCATTTCAGGAAACATTACCAGGTTTTAAATGGATCGGAAGTAGGATAAAAGACCTCCTGGACAATGGAAAAGAAGTCCTTTTTGCATTTGAAGAGTCTATTGGTATGTAGTAAAATATTAATGTTTGAGACCTGATTGAGAGAATTTTTAAAATCTGATGATTCTATAAATAGGAATTTCAGAGAACTTGTCAGTGGGTAGCTAACAAGAAAAAGAAAGGAGCCCCGGGAAGTTTGGCCTGGGTGGGTTTTGTCTGTCCCCAGGGTCCTTCAGAGGACATGGGGAGCTGCTGAATGCGACCTGCCTCTTTCTGAAGGTGCTTTGCGTCCCCAGGTTTCCTGTGTGGAACTTCGGTTTTAGATAAAGATGGGGTGAGTGCCGCCGTTGTTGTCGCTGAAATGGCATCTTACCTGGAGACCATGAACATCACACTGAAACAGCAGCTGATTAATGTCTATGAAAAGTAAGTTCTGCCGTCATTTCACACGCTGGATTTTTCTGTCTTTCATTCTTATGTCTTACCCTTGGCTTTCTAAATTTGTTTTGGAGGAAGTGCCATTTTTTTTTAAAGTTACAACTGTCTGAATTAAGAATTGCCACTTTCCACAGAATATTATAATATGCTTATCTTTAATGTATGGTTCTCTAAGTGCTATCTGAAATCTGATTTTAGCACTTTAAATCTTTGTACAGATATGGTTATCATATTTCAAAAACTTCATATTTCTTGTGTTATGATCCACCTACCATCAAAAGTATATTTGAAAGGCTTCGCAATTTTGATTCTCCAAAAGAATATCCAAAGTTTTGTGGGACATTTGCTATACTGCATGTACGGGACATTACCACTGGATACGACAGCAGCCAGCCGAATAAGAAATCAGTAAGTACAATGTTTCTTTTCCAAATGATGAGGAAAAAGTAATGGTTCATGACACCAAGAAGCCTAGAGGCAGAAAATATTTCATATGGAGCTCAAAATGTTGACTGGTATATTACAAAGATTACAATGTAAGGAACAGCCAGATGGAAAAGATGCATAAGGCTCCACACTGGGAGGTTGGTGGGGCCTGGAGCTCCGTGCCGTCTTCAGGGCCACCACCTTCCCAACAACTACATGGGTTCACCACCCTGGAAGTTCCTGTAAGTACCTATTTTTAATCTTTTTTTTCCTGTTCATTTTATTTTTTAGTTTGAGAGAGAGAAAAAGAACTCCAGACTTCTGGTTTACTCCCCAGATGCCTGCAATGGCCAGGCTGCGCTGGACCAGAACTGGGGAGCCAGGAACTCAGTCCGGGTCTCCCATCTGGGTGGCAGGGGCTCAGCAACTTGAGCCTTCACGTGCCCTCACAGGGTCTGTGCTGGCGAGAAGCTGGAGTCGGGAGCCAGGTGCTGTCCAGCCACAGGCTCACCACTTGCTCACACACTATGTTGCTAAAACACCACACGTGTCTTCTGAGCAAGAGGAGATTTATTATTACAGGCACAAAGGGAGACAGGAAAAATAAAAGCAGCAAAACCCAGACCCATCTCCCTGCTGAGAAAGGGTTTGGGAATTCAGAGAGTTAGGGTAAATGGGGTGAGGAAGGGGATGAGGAAAGTCCTCTGAGCATACGCAGCACCAAGTCTTGCCCGCAGACATTGCACATTCAAAGATGGCTGCTGAAGTGTCACTGAGGGTGTCATTTAACATTAGAGCGAACTCTACGCCAACGCTCTGGTCGTCAGCCTTGATCTGAACGGTGCTCCAGTTACAGTTTTGGTGTAAACAATTGTATCTGCCTTCATCAGAGATCCTAAAAAGGCAGTTCAGCAAACTTTTAGCAAAGACAACTATTATGGGTTGGCAAGTTACCATGCAACAGACAGGCAAAGGACAATTATAAGCTGTTACTAATCAGGCAGCTAAGGGAAGCTTGCTGTTAAGCAAGGGGGGGAGCTTTTTTGTTGTGCATAGTTTGAAGAATCAGGAGCCAAGCACAGGCACCCGACCTGGGATGTAGATGTCTTAACTGGCCTCTTACCCGCGAGGCTACATGCCTACCCCGTACCTGGTGTTCTTAATTGTTCTTAGGGTTGTGAACAATTTGTAATAATTCACACTGTAGTGAAGTAGTGGAACTTCAGACCCATTCGTTTTCTCCAGAGCAGTTTCAAGCCCACTCACGGGTCTCTGTGATGGTGATCTTATCCTCCTCATTCCCCAGATAATTTATACTTCCCCTGGGTGAGGGAGAAGAGGTGGAGGAGAGAGAGAAAAACTGTGCAATGATGCTAACTATGCTGAAAATAAAGTCCGATAGCCTGCACTTTCAAAGCCATGTATCTTTCTGATTTTAACCCTTTCTAACCTCTTCTCTATACCTCCAGCCGAACAAAACAACTCTGAGTTCCGTACATGCATGCGTGTTTGTTTCACTTTCAGTATTTTTGATCAAGCTGTTTCCTGAGTTTACTTTTGCTTCTTGCTGCTATAATAGGTCCATATCTCAGCCATCAAGAGTTAAGGGAAATGTTAGCTCCACCACACAACCTCCAGACGCCATAATCAGATAGCTTTCTCCTAAGACTCCATTACCTTGGATAACTTCCTCCTCTCACTTGTTCCTATTTCATGTTACTGTTATATTGTATGTGACTGGGCCAGTTCTAATGTACTTTTGTACCTCTCACAGCTCCTGCCTATACTCCAGGTGCACAAGAACAAATATTTAAATGGCACAGATTACTAATCGTACTCATTTTGTTATTGTTATGATGATGTCTGTTAGCCTAAATTTCCATTTGTAGCATTCTTATATTGCCTCAAGATTCTAGGGACATACTATATTTTGAGACATCTGCAGCTTCTTGTATAGAATACTACCCATATTCCACTTCTGTGTATTGATACAATTGACAAAAATTGGTTCCTGGTTGATATTCTATATATGTGTGTATAAGTGTATTGTGTCTATGTTTCTGTCTTTGTAAGTTAAAAAAAAGAACAAAATCTCTTCATTTCTCTAATGTTGCTATGCTTAGTCTTTGGTGTAATGCTTTTTTCCTCTTAATTCTCTTTAAAGTTTAAGATGCTGGTTAATCGGGCCAGCGCTGCAGCTCAATAGGCTAATCCTCCGCCTGTGGCACTGGCACCCCGGGTTCTAGTCCCGGTTGGGGCGCCAGATTCTGTCCCAGTTGCTCCTCTTCCAGTCCAGCTCTCTGCTGTGGCCCAGGAAGGCAGTGGAGGATGGCCCAAGTGCTTGGGCCCTGCACCCCATGGGAGACCAGGAGAAGCACCTGGCTCCTGGCTTCGATCAGCACGGTGTGCCGGTCACAGTGCGCTGGCCACAGCAGCCACTTGGGGGGTGAATCAATGGAGAAGGAAGACCTTTCTCTCTGTCTCTCACTGTCCACTCTGCCTGTCGAAAAAAAAAAATGCTGGTTATTCAAGATGTTTCTTCATTTGTTCTCTGATACAACTGTTTTCTAAGGCAGGTTGCATGTATGCTATTATCTGCATGGTTACATAGTAACTACCAAAGACTTCCTCTGAGTTCTCTCTACCTTCCCACCTGACATTCATTGGTGTCGTGTATGAGAACCCCGTGTGCTGCAGGCACAGGGGCACTGTTCTGCAGTCAAGAGTCTAGCAGAGAAGCAGACAAGCAAAGAGCAATTACTTTACACAATGATAAGTGTCACCAGGGATGTGTCAGGTGTTGAGGAAGAGCAAGGGAAGGACCCCTCACTCTGATTTCAGGGGTGGAGGGAAGCTTATGGAAGATTAGAGGCTTTTCTCAGTGAGTTCTCGGGTGTGATTAGAAGTTACCCAGGGGGCCAGTGCTGTGGGATAGCGGGTAAAGCTTCCACCTGCTGTGCTGGCATTCCTTAAGGGCACCCAGTCAAGTCCCGGCTGCTCCTCTTCTGATCCAGCTCTCTGCTATGGCCTGGGAAAGCAGTAGAGGATGGCTCAAGTCCTTGGGCCCCTGCACTCACGTGGGAGACCTAGAGGAGGCTCCTGGCTCCTGGCTTCGGATCAGCACAGTTCCAGCCATTGCGGCCAATTGGGGAGTGAACCAGCGGATGGAAGACCTCTCCCTCTCTCTGTCTCTCCTTCTCTCTGTGTAACTCTGCCTTTCAAAGAAATAAATAAATCTTTAAAAAAAAAAAGTTACCCAGAGACAGGAGGAAGTGAAGGCACTTCAGTAAATGGAGTAAATGAAGTGCAGGGTCTGGAGAAGAGGAGGCCCCTCAGAGGCTCTTCAGAGAACCACAGGCAGTTGTCTGTAACAGGTGCTGGGGTGAGAGGAGGAAAGGCCTGGATATGAGTGGGTCACAAAGGGCGAACTTCAGGCAGGAAGGCCAGCTGGGATATTGGAGGCCTGAATTCAGTATGATAGCAGTGGTGATGAAGAGACTTGGACAAAGTTGAGTTAAATAGAGGGCAGAATAGACAGGACTTGTCGATGGTCTGTGAGTGAAAAAGAAGGGGGGTCAGCACTGTGACGCACTGGGTTAAAGTCCTGGCCTGCAGTGTCGGAATCCCATATGGGCGCCAGTTCGAGCCACAGGTGCTCCACTTCCAATCCAGCTCCCTGCTAATTCACCTGGGAATGCAGTAGAAGATGGCCCAAGTGCTTGGGCCCCTGCACCTATGTGGGAGACCTGGAGGAAGCTCCTGGCTTCAGATCACCTCAGCTCTGGCAATTTTGGCCATTTGGGGAGTGAACCAGAGGATGGAAGACCTTTCTAACTCTGCTCTTCAAATAAATAAAAAATAAATCTTAGAAGGAGAAGGTCTCTATCTTAAGCAAGTGGTGTGTGGAACCACTGACCAAGAGAGAGGTCCCAGGGACAGGACCAGGCTGGGAACACCTGGGGAAGTGTACCACTGTCAACCCCAGAATAATGCCAAAATAAGACTCCCCAGCCTCAACAGCCTGACACGGGGGCTAAGAACAGTCCCAGTATTGACCCATATATTCAGTGTCAGTAAAGCTTCACTTTTTTTAAATTTTTCATTTAAAAACACAAGTAGCCTTTGTGTACCCCAGAGTATTATTTTGCATATCCTCTGAAAGGCATGCATTTCTCTTTGGAGACCTTTGATAGACTGCGAAGTGCTTGGCAAACACAGAGGCAGTTTGGACTTTGGAGCAGAGAGACGTGGTTCCAATCCTTGTTCCACCACTCAGTTGATTGTCTCGAGCAGGTCATTTACTCTCTTTGAGCCTTGTCCATGAAGTGGCAGCAGTACTTACTTTGCAGGATTAGTGTTGAGAGCTGGAGATCATGTATGTAAGACAGATAACCCGATGCTTGGACCATCACAGGAGTCCAGGAAATGGAATGTTTGTGTACTATACATTATCTTCTTTTATATTTATTTTAAAGATGTATTTATTTATTTGAAAGGCAGAGAGTTATGGAGAGGCAGAGGCTTGGGGGGGTGGGGAGTCTTCCATCTGCTACTTCACTCTCCAAATGACCACAATAGCCGGAGCTGAGGCAATCCGAAGCCAGGAGCCTAGAGCTTCTTATGGGTCTCCCGTGTGGGCTCAGGGGCCCAAGGACTTGGGCCATCTTCTACTGCTATCCCAGGCCATAGCAGAGAGCTGGATCAGAAGTGGAGCAGCTGGGACTCAAACCAGATGGGATGCCAGTACTGCAGGCAGTACTTTACCCGCTATGCCACAGCACTGGCCACAGCTCTTTTGTATTTTGTAATTCTTTTAAATTAAAAAAATTTCAATTCTTGTAAAAAATATATAATTGACTATCTTAACCATTTTTATGAGTAAATTCAGTAGTGTTAAGTACATTCATATTGTTGTGCAATAGATCGCGAGACCGTTTTCATCTTGCCTGACTGAAACAATGTGCCCATTAACTCCCCAGCCCTGGCAGCCACCATTCTGCTTGCTGTGAATTTGCCTACCTTAGATAACCCATAGAAGCGGGATGTATTTTATAGTCTTGAAAATGAAAAGGAGCGAATGTATAATCCAGCTGTTGTTGCCCTTTGCCTAGGTGCTGCCTGTGAGCAAAAGCAGCCAGATGATTACCTTCACCTTTCAGAATGGCTGTGTTGCTACTCTACGGACAAGCGGGACAGAACCAAAGATAAAGTATTACGCAGAGATGTGTGCCTCCCCTGACCAAAGGTGGGAATTGCTTTCTTAGATATATACACAAAATCTTGATTGAGAAATAATATATATACATTGTATCTATGTATGTATATACATTCCTCGCACACCATGGAGTTAGAAGACTTTCCGAGCATTAACTACTATATGATGAACATAAAGAAATGATCAACAGAAACTGTGTTTATGGCCAAATACTCATTTTCCACACCTGCTATGATTTTACATAATCATCCCAGTTGATTTCCTTTTAAGTGTATGAATTGTGAGTAAATTAATTTGACTCTAATAACTATATTCAAGGCTGTTTAAACTTATTAAAAGAAATATCTCCTATAATGTTTTCATTGATCCCTATATTTTGGAGAAGATGAGTTTTTTTGGAATTTCCTTCAGATTCCAACAAAGGTACATTATTTTTATTTCCCACGTCTTTGCATTAAGATTTCATTTCCTGTAGGGAAAAGTTAAATAACTCCTATAGTCATTAAGAACAGAGTTTAAAGTCAACCAAATTGGGCAATGCTATATTTGGTTTAAAATGAAAGATGGTTATTTTTTTCTTTAATTTTTATTTACTTACTTGAGATACAAAGAGAGACAGACAGACGGAGACCAACCATTCCCATCATCCCCTACACTCCCCAGATGCCTGTGGGTGGCAGGAACCCAACTACCTGAGCCATCACTACTGCCTCCCAGGGTCTGCATCAGCTGGAAGCTGGAGTCAAGAACCAGAACCGTGATTCGAACCCAGGCACTCCAGCTTGGGATGTGAGTGTTCCAAGTGGCATCATAGCCATGGAACCAAATGTCTGCCCCCCAAATGCAGTTTAAAAGTCTTTCCCAGAGATGCTTAGACAACAGCAGCTCCTCGGGATGACTTTGAAGGGTTTACTTACAATTATATATGTAGGTTTTTTAAAAGATTTATTTATTTATTTATTTGAAAGTCAGAGGTACAGACAGAAAAAGAGAGAGGTCTTCCTTCTGCTGGGTCACTCCTCAAATGGCTGCAACGGCCAGCGCTGGACCAGGCCGAAGCCAGGAGCCAGAAACTCCATCAGGGACTCCCATGTAGGTGGCAGGGGCCCAAGCACTTGGGCCATCTTCCACTGCTTTTCCCAGGCCATAAGTAGGGAGCTGGATTGGAAGTAGAGCAGCTGGGACACAAAGCAGTGCCCATATGGGATGCCAGTGTCACAGGCAGCGGCTTTGTTGGCCATGTCACAATGCTGGTTCCATATTTATGCGTTTTTTTAAACCTCAAATTCTTTTAGCCATACCTCCTTCTGCTGCCTGAAAGATGTGTCATGTTATCCTATAACATCTGTGTGAATATTCTTCAGAGTATTTCAGGAGACCATTTATCTTACCATCTGATATTAATGCTCAAAGATCTAGCATAATTCTTTTTTTTTGTTTTGTTTTGAAGATTGCTTTATTTATTTGAAAGGCAGAGTTCCAGAGAGAGGAGGAGAGAGAGAGAGAAGTCTTCCACTGGTTCATGCTCCAAATGGCCACAACAGCCAGAGCTGGGCCAGGCAAAAGCCAGGTGCCAAGAGCTTCATTTAGGTCTCCCACATGAGGGAAAGAGATCCAAACACTTGTACCATCCTCTGCTGCCTCTCCAGGTGCATTAGCAGGGAGCTGGATTGGAAGTGGAGCTGCCAGGACTTGAACAAGCAGCCATATGGAATACTGGCAATGCAGGTGGCAGCCCAACCTGCTGCACCACAGTGCCAACCCCTAGGAGAATTCCTTAGATCTACTGTAACTCATCCATTTATCATTTGCCAAGGAATGCCTATTATTGCAGTTTACCTTCAGTTTGTGATAGTGGTGTTTCCTTTGTGATTGTGTGTGTGTGTGTGTTTTAACTGAGTAAATTTCTCTTTTGTTAACAATTTCTTAATCATTCTTCAGGTATATGCCCTCTTTAAAAAGCAAAGATTATTTTATAGCCTTAAAATTTGTTTAAATTAAACACTTCAAAACTTAATCTTTCTCCTTAGTGACACAGCCTTACTGGAAGAAGAATTGAAGAAACTCATTGAAGCCCTCATTGAGAATTTTCTTGAACCCAGTAAGAATGGACTGACCTGGCGCTCTGTCTAGGGCACGCCTGTGCATCCTGTCCTTGCCTGGCATACGGAACGGAGCAACGGAGAACTCCCATGTGTTGAACCTCGTGTTAGCCTTCTCTCTCTCGCATTCGGCCAAGTATCATTTTCCTTTTATTTTCTGTCTTTTTTTTTTTTTTTTAGTTAACTGACTAAAACACTGCATAAATTTCAAGTGAAATAGTCCGGAGAGAAGTGATTCAAATTTTTTTTTGGTATTTTAAAAGTCATTACATCAAAAGTATTACAGTAACACGTCGTTCTTCCTGAATAGAAACATGATAATACAAAAGTGAGTTTTATTATTAAAGTGTGATTAAGCTTAGTTCCATATCTTGTAATTGTGTATAGCATGGTAAAAAAATCTGATAAATGTTATATAATTATATGGTTAGTTATGGGAATCCATAATATTGGCAGGAATAAGAAACTGCTCCAAGATCATAATGGAAAAGTATCATTGTTTTATCACAGATATTCATTTACAGCTTAGAGTATTTAAAATAGGGTCTGTAGCATTTCTAGCTTAGAGCAGATGTTGTGTGTTTCAGCAGCTGGTTCAGGTGCCTGTGGTGCAGTGTGGACTTCCTGTAATATTTAACATGTTTACTGAACAAGAAACAGTAGTGGCATTGTTCTCTTAGAGTGTTCCTATGCCTTCTCAGGGTCTGGTGTGAACTGAAACAATTTCTGCATTGGATATCAATTGTCAGTTTTCAGGAGTTAAGGAAAATCTTCCAAACTATATAGGTGCTTCCTCTGTATCCAGTGGGTTTGCTGATTTGAAAATCTTAGGATTGTAAATAAAGGTCATTTAAAAGTGGGCTTAAGGTAACTGTGGTTAAGAATCTTCACATTAGAACTGTGTCAGTTACAACCGTTAAGGAAAAAATCTGAACTGAGAAATAAGCTCTGAATTTGACAGTATAACTTTTGAATTACATTCTTGTAAGTACAATTATTTCTTTATTTGATGGAGTCATGCTAATTTTACAAAGAAGGCATCCAGATTTTAAGTATTCTGAAACACTAAAACTATACTTTCAAAACTAAAGTCCAGTTTAGTATAACCTCTTGCAGGCTTCTGTAGAATTTCTGATCATTTGGTGATTATTTATATTTTTATTTTTTCAGTGGGGAAACATTTTTTTTTTTATGAAAATCACTCTGGGCTGATTCTAGTCCCTTGAGAAGACATACAGAGAAAGCTAGTGAACCTCCTTACGGTTTATATCGTCCTGTATACTTTGCAGAACATGTACGTGCTTTAGTTAAAAAGTGGCAATGACAAGATCTTGGGTGTGATCCTAATAAACAGATTGCCTCTAGCAGATTGCACTGGTATTAGAGAATTTCTTTCCTAAAAATAATAACAACAAAGTTTGAACTGATTAGAACATTCATTAAATCATGGTTTGGTATGTTGCAGCTGTCAGCTAATGTTCAGTTGAGCTTACATAATCTAAACATGACTTTCAAATTATTGTATTGCCACTATTGTTAATTTGTTCTCCTTACTTTCTTATAGCTGGATCTTGTATGACTATAGGTAATACACAGCTAGCTGAATGTAGAGCACCACTGCCCTGAGTTTGTCTTCGAAGGCTTCGCACTGTAGAAAAATGTAGAATTTTTTGTTTTATTTTAAAACAGTGTAAAATATTTTTTGTTTTACTTACTTTAGGAATGTAGATTGTAATTCAGGAAATGCATAGATTCTATAAAGTGGTATGAACAATGTTGTAGGTATGAAAAGCATATTTGGTTTTAGTACCTGTGTCTCAGTGACTGATGAAACTGGAGTGCCAGTGCAGCCTATCCACAATCACTAAAGCCAGATAACTTTGACATAGTTCAGGATTTTAGTCATCTTAATCAAGGTGAGACATTATCAAAGTTTGGATTCTTGTCTCAAAAATGTAAAAGTCCAAAGTTAAAATTAATAAAGTTCTACAGAGCCTCCTGAAGTACATGGATTGAGGGGATATTTGATTCTAGCCAAGCTCTGAGTTTGAGCATAATATTAAACATGAACCTGACAGCAGGTGCACGCTTTAAAAGGATAAATTCAGCGAAAGCCCAAGCCAGCCAGGAGGGACAAAAGTGCTGGCCAGTGGGTCTCAGCCCTGGGCACTGCATTGTTTGTCTTTTTCTCTTTGAACAATGTCATGGAAATGAACGCGTTCTCATTGAGCGTGCAAGTCAAAACTGGGATTTTCTGAAGCTTTAGGGGAAAAGGGAAGAATTAGTGGAACGAAATCAAAGCATAAATTGGAAATAAACAGTAGAAATGAACAAACACTGGAAAGGTTGATAAGATGGCACAGGACATGCTCCTTATGAAGGGCAGCCCGGCCGCTGTAAAGGTGGGGAGTCAGCTTCGTGCAGGTAGTGAACCTGCTGTTTCCTTTGGTAGTGATCACCAAAAAGAAGCCAGGTTCTAGGAGGTGAGAAAAAGTGCCCTCCCACAGGTTCAATTCCTGCTAGGATGTTCTGTCAGAATATGTGAAAACCTGGAAGGAGACAGAGTAGACATTTAAAAAAGGACAGTTGACATTTCAGAAAAAAATAAAATAGAAATTAGAAAGTAAGACCTCCGAGAAGAAGTTCAATGAATTCAGATCATTTAATTCTGGAGCAGAGAAAGCTGCTGCAATAGTTAACTAAATTTTTAAGTTCTTAATTACATGTTTATTGAAGGGTTCACAGTAGGAATGCTGTGTCATGCTCTTCTCCATTTGTAGTGAGGACAGGGCGGGCGAGGGGTGTTGGATTTGGGGGGAAAAAGTGCATGAAAAGTCAGATTAAGATTTAAGAATTTCTTTGGGAATCACCATTAAATCTTCTATATGAAATATTTTTCATTACTAAGGGAATAGAAATTTTAAATGCTTATTGCTACCTTTTTTTTTTTTTTTTTTTTTTTTGAGAGGCAGAGAATTCCCATCTTCTGATTCACTCCCCAAACTCCCAGACTCCCACATCTGGGAGCTAGAAAGCAACCCTGGTTCCTTGTGGATGGCGGGAACCCAGTACTTGAGCCGTTACTGCTGTCTCCCAAAGTGTGCATTATCAGGAAGCTGGAGTCAGGCGTCAGAGCCAGGAATCAAAGCCAGGCACTCTAATATGAGATATGAGCAGCTCAACCATGAGGCCAAGTGCCTGTCCCCTAACTGGCCTTTTTTTTTTTTTTTTTTTTTTAAGATTTATTTATTTACTTGAGAGGCAAAGTACAGAGAGCGAGAGACAGAAAGGTCTTTCATCTGCTGATCCACTCCCCAAATGCAAATGGCCACAATGGCCAGAGCTGCACCGATCCGAAACCAGGAGCCAGGAGCTTTTTTCTGGTTTTCCTACATGGGTGCAGGGGCCCAAGCACTTGGGCCATCTTCTGTGGCTTTTCCAGGCCATAAGCAAAGAGCTGGATTGGGAGTGGAGCAGGCGGGACATGAACCAGTGCCCATATGGGATGCTAGCTATGCAGGTGGACGCTTAATCTACTGTGCCACAGCACTGCCCCCTAACCCCAACTGGTCTTTTTAAGATTCCTTCCTTTCAACACTCTTTTTTTAAACTTTAGTTGAAACAAAAATGTTGTTAAGAGCACTAAAAGTAACATTTGAGTTTTGCTCTATCTAGAAGAATTTAGCTCACAAAATAATTTTTATATATTTTTAGTAGAAGGATGAGTATAATGCCTAAAGGCCTGCTGGGTATTATTTTTCACTTAACCTGATAAATTTAGTGAGACTTGAACACAATTTTGTGCATCCTTAAGAATGTATAGCATTATTGATACTTGAGGCTATTGTGTTAGATACAAAATATTGTTACTTAGGTGTAGTAACTTCAGCAGACAGCTGTTCTGAGAGATTGGGTACTCGGGGATATCTTCATGTAGGAATGACCTCCTATTTCTTAAGGAGATCGCTTCTGGAATTGATGCAACGGAGATGTTAGCTGGAGTTTAATGGAGAACTTGTTCTATGAACTGCTGCTAATTGATGCCTGTGTTTGGTTTTTTTGAGATGTTTTCCATTGATGCTTCTGATGCTTGAAAAATCCAAATTCCTCTTGAATCAATTTAATTTTATGCCTTTTTCTCTCTACCTCCCTCTTCTCCTAGGCGCCCTTCCATATTTTGTACTGTGAAAAGCTCTGGCCCTATTACCTCAAATCTTAACTGTATTCATCCAGAATGCTTTAAACTTATGCATAGACTGTGTTTGTTTATAGATTTTCTGTTATTTTGTTATTATGGACAATAAGACTTGTAATTTTAAGTCTCTTTCACAACTTGTTTTGGTCTGTCTGGATACTACTATATGTTAATTTATTATGGCCTTTTACAATTCTGAAATTTTTTTTTATTTCTTAAATTGATCTAGAAACTTATGAGGAAAGAATCATATTGACCAAAATGATGGTCCATTAATCTAGCAGTTTGGGGTTTTGTTGTACCTTGGATAGCCAAAATACAGAATTTGAGGAAATCTTAGCATCTCACCATAATCATAAGAAGTCTAAATACAAAGAGAATGGCTCTTTGCTGACTGTACACAGCATGGCTAACGTTCCAGTTGGAAACATGGTATTGAATATTGGTTACTTTAAAATATTCACTGTACTGTTGGATTCAGTGTCATCTTTCCTCTTACTAGACTATGTACCTAAAAAAGAGAACCAACCAGAATGAGTCAAGTGACCAAGATAGGGGCAGAATGACATACCTAGTTTGGTTCTCAAACTTTTAAGAGATTGATTTATTTTGAAAGAGTGACAGAGGGAGAGGGGGAGAGAGAATGAATGTATCTCCTCCGTCTGCTGGTTCACTCCCCAAGTGGCTGGAACAGCCAGAACTGGGCCAGGCTGATGCCTGTGTGGGTGCCAGGGCCCACGTACTTGGGCTGTCCTCTGCTGCCCTCCTGGGCACGTTTGCAGCCAGCTGAATGGGAAGCAGAGCAGCCAGGACTAGAGTCGGCACTCTGACGTGGGATGTGAGTGTTACGAGTGATGGTTGAACCCACAACCGGCAGAGGAGCATGAAGGAGGGGGAAGGAAGATTCCATGTTCGCGCTTAAGTTGCAAATGAAGTTTGAATTCATAACACATAAAATGATAAAAGTGTTCTAACATAAAAGCGGCATCTTTAATCTTGACTCACACTGGTGCTGCCAGAATGGAACACCAGGTTTATCAACGTGGCCTCTCCCATTTCCCCTCCAGTGCCCCCACACCCAGCAGCCACCTAGCCCCAGGGGCACACGCAGACTCTGGTGTGAGGCATATAAAGAAGACGTCTAGGATACTCCCTGCCCTTTAGAAGCTGAGCTTCTGAAGTATTACTGCCAAGTTACACTGACCCAAAACACTCCTGTTAGCACTGAGCCTCAGATTCTGGGCCTGTTTCTTCGTAACTCATTGCCACTCCTTGACGGAGAAGGAGCAGCCGGCTGCCAGCTCCCTGGGGGCAGGAATCGTGGTTTACTGGTTTTTGAATTCACGCCACCTAATTCAGTACCTGTCATAGGTCGCTCAATAACAGGGTTTCGCAGGTTTTATTTTAAAGAAGCAAATAGTTGAAGAAACAATAAAAAGGATTTTCTAATTCAGCTTTCAAATGATTCCCAGTATTGAAATTTCTGATAAGTGATGTGTGTCAAGCACGCACACCCTTTAACGCTCAGTTTCTTTGGAGCGAGCAGACTATTTCTATGTGGAAATTGTATATAACGCTTAGTATTTTACACTCAAAGCAAGGTGTTGGCTGGGAAGGCTAAGAAGTAATATCTGTGTAGACTTAACATCACTCTTGTAAGTGCCATTTTGCGCCTTGCTTCCAAGTGTGTCGCAGCAGATCTGGTATCATTTGGTGTGTCTGTGTCTGGTATTACAACTCATCAGCCCTTCAAGCAAGTGTCTGCATCTGTATGTGGTGAGACCTTCTTGTCCAGGCTGGAATGGACTCGTGGTATACATCATTTAATATGCCAGGTAGAAATAGACAGTTAAGAGTGAATTATTTTTCTAAGTGTGTAGCAGTAGCTCAAAATTGTGCCCTTGTTTTAACAGTTTCTGTCAATGTCCTCCTTTTTCTCTACAAAAACACCAGGGTGTATTATAAGTACTGCCTGTGAGAATTTGCACTTTATGTATTTGTGTGTGGATTTTTTGTGGTTTTAGCCAAATGAAGTGTTATCAGTAATAAACAGGTCTCTTCATAGACATGAGTTTCCGTGTAATTTTTATTATCTTAGATACTGGGTAGTTCATGAAGTTCACTGTCCAAACCGAATATATTCTTAAGATAGATGCACAGCAAACTCAAGAATCAGTTTTGAGTCTAAATGAATCTCCTGGCCCAGCACTTGGTAAATATTCCTGACTGGTTCATCAGAAGTCCCAGATGTATTAGGTTCCCTGCATCTTGCTTTACTTCTCTCTTGCAGCTGACCTAACTTGTCTGCCCATGGTAGCACTAGCTGGCATGATAAGACGGAAGGATTAAAGGTTCGGGAATCCCTCAAGGTCATGACTGTTGATATGTGATGTGGTGGTTAGGACTGTTGCCCTGGTCCAGGGTGTCTGCCAGTCCCTCTGATCAGGCTCAAAAGGAAAACAGGGTGTCTCATCTTTTTTTAAAGAAAAAGATACATTTATTTACTTATTTGAAAGAGTCAGATCTTCCATCCACTGGTTCACTCCCCAAGTGGCTGCAATGGACAAGGCTGAGCCAGGCTGAAGCCAGGGACTTCATCCTGGTCTCCTACGTGGGTGGTGGGGGCCCAAACACTTGGTCCATCTTATGCTGCTTTTCCCAGGCCATTAGTGGGGAGCTGTATCAGAAGTGGAGCAGCTTGGACACAAACTGGTGCCCATGTGGGATGCTGGCAGCACAGGTGGCGGCTTTTCACGCTACACCACAGGGCCGGCCCCAAGACAGGGTCTTTTCATCACCTTCTAAATTGAGTATTGTGAGAACCAAACTTACCCCCCACCCAGTTTGTTCTTTATAGCACATAAACAAGTGGACAAATTTAAGTAGTAGTATCTGTCATCATGAGTGTAGCATGCCATATAGTACTCAATAAGTATGTATCTAATGCATGAACCTAGCTCATGTTTTCTTGCAGAAGAAAAACTCTCAATTATTTTTTTTAATTTTAATTATTTGAGAGACAGAGAGCTCCCATCCACTGCTTCACTCCCCAGATGCTCATGACACGGCCAAAGCCAGGAACTCAATTCAGGTCTTGTGTGGGTGGCAGGACCCAGTTACCTGAGCCATCACTGCTGCCTCCCGGGGTGTGCATTAGCAGGAGCCGGAGGCAGGTGTGGAAGCAGGTACTCTGATGTGGGAACTGGGTGTCCTGAGCAGTATCTTAAGCAGACCAGTGCTGCCCCAAACACTGAATTCTTGATTCTGCATATGTACAGGGCTGCACATGGTGAAAATATGCGGTAGATTTCTTGGTGCCACTGAGTCTTCTCTGTCTACAGCACATATGCTGCCGCCATTTTCTTCAAGCTCAGTGTTTTCTTATCTTTCCTGGGTGGCCCTGTGCCTTCCTGGTTGTTTTTGTTTTGTTTTTTGTTTTTTATTTTTTATTTTTATGTGAAAAGGAGAGAGAAGAGAGATCCTCCATCCACTGGTTCACTCTCAAAGTACCTGAAATAGCCAAGGCTGAGCCAGGCCAAAGGCAGAGGCCCAGAACTCTATCCGGGTATCCCACCTGGGCAGTAGGGACCCAAGTATTTGAGCCATGATCTGATCCTTTCAGGTACACGTTAGTGGGAAGCTGGCTCAGAAGCAGAGTAGCCAAGATTCGAACCAGGGACTCTGATATGGCATGTGGGCATCCAAAGTGGCATCCTAGCCGCTGCACCAGGTGCCTGCCTCATCTTCCTGGTTTGAAATCTCAAAACCATCGTTGACTTCTCCTACTACTGGGTATGTGCTGCCTGAGCAGTTCCTCAACACTGTGGAGCTAAGGGCGGGACCCCGGCTTGAGACCCACAGAGACCAAGAAGCCAACTCGTCCAAAGGAGAAGAGTGGGCGCCTCCGTAAGTGGAAATTCTTGGAGAAGGGGATGATAACACAAGTCTGTAATGTGTTCTCCCCCCTTCCTGTCCTCCCTAAACCAGCACTTCCTCATTTCTGCTACTGAGGTGACCATGCTCCATTTCCCTCTTTACATCTGGTTCTGATCATTAAGTGGTCCAACATGCACATAATTTGCTCTAAATTAAATATTTGGCCTTCATCCCTCTGTTTTGTTCATTTGTTGTTTTTTAAAAAATATTTATTTGAAAGAGTTACAGGGAAGCAGAGGCAGCAAGAGAGAGAGAGAGAGATTTTCCATCGCTGGTTCACTCTCCAAATGGCAGCAAAGGCCAATGCTGGGCAAATCCAGAGCCAGAAGCTTCCTCTGGGTCTCCCACATGGATGCAGGGGCCCAAGGACTTGGGCCATCTGCTGCTGCTTTCCCAGGTCACGGCAGAGAGCTGGATTGGAAGTGGAACAGCCAGTGCCCATATGGGATGCCAGCACTGAGGTGGCAGCTTCACCCGCTACGCCACAGTGTTTTATGAATATTTATTAACCTGGAAATAGGTAGGTATGAGGAGCACTCCAGGAAGCTAGAAAGGAGGGGAAAAAATCCACAGTCCCCATGCCACTGCCGTCACATCGCGGAAAATCACCTTTGTTCCTTGTGACTCTGGATGCACAGCACCTTGAGAGAGGCCCAGCAGGCTGGGATCTTGCTGCAAGCCGGCCTCCTGGCTACCCCTCAGCTTCCTTCTGCATGGCAGAGGGCGACAGGCCACAGAGGGGGAGGGCAGCTTCCCATCAGAGCAGACCACAAGTCCACCATGATGCCAGAGCAGAGTGCTGGAGAAGAAACACAGCACAGAACACGGCATGAGTGTGTAGCCACCAAGTGGCTGACTGTGGCTCTTAGAGGGAGAGCCTGGTCGTGCGTGGGGACCAGCATGCTGTCCAGCTGCACTTCAGTCACAGGTGATGATGAGGGGTGGGGGCGGGGTGGCTATGGAATCCACACTAGAATGAATCTTCAAAGTCATCCGAGCCAACCGCCCCTGGTTTCTGTGATAGGACTGGCAGGTGGGCCAGATGGTTGAACCATGCCAGGAACAACTGGCCAAGGCAAGCTGGTTCTTTTCTATTAAAGAATGGCCAGTACATAGATTTTCCTTGTATTCTGCTAAAATCTGCCTCCTGCAGCTCCCAGGCTCTGGCTGCACACAGACACCCAGTGTCACCCAAGGCTATTTCCTTTCCACTCAGTCTTTGGCCCCCAGTCCCAATGTGCGCAGTTCAGACCCCGTTCCTTGGATGCCCAGTTTTGGGGCCCCTTCACCTTCCCAATCCTCCTATAGAAAGCACATTTTCAAAAGCTGGGTCTGGAAATTAATACACCCTAGAAATGGCGGGAGCAGCCCAGACTGGAGAGAGGTGGGATTTCCACCTGATGTGGCAGGCAGCATAACAGACATGGGCAGAGGGGGCAGAGGGGGCTCAGCCTGCAACACAGGGCTAAGTCCTCTGCCCACAACTCCTCCTTTCACTCTCAACTCATGCACCACCCCTTCCAAAAAATCCTTCCTGCCTGTTGCCCCAACTGTGCTGGGCAAGGCCTGGCCTCCACATCTCCTCTGCCACCTGCACTGGAGCGCTTGCTGCACCAGAGTGATGCCATCTGTGTGCTGGACTCCCCCAGTTGACTGTGGGCTCCCTGACGGCTGGAGTTGCCTGGCTCGGTGCGGTACCCCTGGCACCCAGAACACAGCAAAAAGTCTATGATGAACCCTCAGCAAATCAGCAGAACAACAAGTGAGATAAGGAAGGGAGGGGAGGAGAGAAGAAAAAGAAAAGGTTGAACTGAAGCAGAATTTGAGCTAAGTTTTTAAAGGCTGGGAATAAACAAAAGGAGCAGGGAGGTGCCCATGGGATGCAAAGAGAATGCCGAGACTGCTGGACGGATTCCAGCTAGTTGGGCTTTGGCTAAGGCAACACAAGGAAATCTGGAGTCAGGTAGGGCTACAGAGATGGATTCCCTTGTGGGGAGGGAGTAAGAAAAACGCAGCCCTGAGCAAGAGGAGCCTTCTCCAGTCGGTCACTGCTCCCATGTGTGCATGCTGCCCCCTGGTGGGTAAGGATCTAGACAGCTGTGCTCTAGAAGGAAGCCAACATCGGTCCCAACAATTCTCTTTATAGGCGGGTGACAGAACTTGCCCAGCCAGCCCAAGCTATCTTCTCCAACAGCCTGTGGATGGCTGGGTGAATTCAATCCATGATTTTCTTAGTCCTCCAGCCAGGTGGGGGCGCTCCCTGCTTCTACACAGCACCAAGGCCCAGAAAAGAGAAGCAATTTTCCCGCAGTCACAGAGCAAGCCAGTGGCCTAGCTGGGGCTGAGCCTCTGTCTGCTGACTAGCATGCCCCTTCTTCTAACTTACCAAGCTACTAGGAGCAGGAGAGTGGATTAAAAAGCTGGTGATTGTGATCCATGCCTTTAAGGAGACACTAGCACAAGGCAACAGAAGTGAGATAATAGAGTAAAACGGTGCCGACAGAGGACGGGACGCATGTTGGAGCTGGGAGGGCTTCAAGAACTTGGCAGGGGTTGGGGGGAGCTGTGGCACAGAGGGTAAAGCTGCCGCCTGTGAGGCTGGCACCTCCTATGGGCGCCAGCTCCAGTCCTGGCTGTTCCACTTCCCATTCAGCTCCCTGCTAATGAGCCTACAAAGGCAGTGGAGTATGGCCCAAGTGCTTGGGCCCCTGCACCTGTGTGGGAGACCCAGCGGAAGCTCCTGGCTTCAGCCTGGCTCAGTCCTAGCTGTTGTGGCCGTTTGAGGAGTGAACGAGCAGATGAAAGACCTTTCTGTCTCTCCTTCTCTCTGTCTGTAACTCTGCTGCCTTTCCAATAAACAAATCTTAAAAAAAAAAAAAAAGAGCTAGGACTAAGTTGAACCTTGAAGGGCGAGCAGGTGTTTGCCATGCAAAGGAGAAAGCTACAGCAGACGCAGGAGAGAGCAGGAAGCAGCCAGGGGCTGGTGGACACTGGAACGTGGGTTTTGGATCCAGGCCAGTGGTGTGTCTGACACCTCACCTTCCAGCTGAGTGAAGAGCCCCAGGTCGCAGCAGGCCCTCCAAAGCTGGCGACCTCAGGACACGCATCCAACAGCTTTCGAGTCACCCCTACATG